ACCCAGTAGACACAACTAAGCTTTGGGGAAACCTAAGAGACCTTGAGATAACATCGCAGTTTATGGCCCACGGTATATAAAGTGTATGACCAGAAATCCCTGAGGAAGAAGAACAAAAAACAAAAGAGTCAGTGCCGCATCAGCACATTATCACGCTGATCAGTTGCCAGTCGGACCCACGAGCATTGGAGCCTTATGGTAGTCTTTAAACATACCTAAATTACAATCTTGACTGACTCTTAAGGAAAGGTAAAGGACCCTTTTCCACGCCTTCAGGTCACATATGATTAAACATATATTGTATAGACCAATCGGAGCTGGTTGGGTGATGTGGTCAACATCACACCGGCCGCCTTCACTTCCCTGAACTTTATCTGGTACACATCGAAGGGTCGACCTGGGAACCAATGTATTATTTGAAAAAAGTCCGGTTCCGTCAGCATCTGCACCTACGACCTTCAGAAATAAAAAAAATCTCATCTTATCTTCATCCTTTGACACGTTCTTGATGAGATTATATGACAGAAGAGAAACAGACGACAACTTGTCATTCCGGTTTGACTGGATCTAGATAAGATTTTATAAAGACAAGTAAGTCACCACTTACCACCAAGTTTTGACTGGCTCTAGATCGAATGACAGAAGATAAAATAACATCTCGCTATCCTGCTGTGACTGGCTCTAAATTAGATTCTATGACAGAAGACAAGTAAATCACCATTTGCATCATGCTTAGTCCGGCGTTGATCAAATGATAAAAATAGAAATAACATCTTGCCATCCTGCTTTGACTGGCTCTAGTTTGAATGACAAAAGATAAAATAACATCTTGCCATCCTGCTTTGACTGGCTCTAGTTTGAATGACAAAAGATAAAATAACATCTTGCCATCCTGCTTTGACTGGCTCTAGATCGAATGACAAAAGATAAAATAACATCTTGCCATCCTGCTTTGACTGGCTCTAAATTAGATTCTATAAAAGAAGACAAGTAAATCACCATTTGCATCATGCTTAGACCGGCGTTGATCAAATGACAGAAATAGAAATAACATCTTACCATCCTGCTTTGACTGGCTCTAGATCAGACTCTATGAGCACTCTGAGCAAGTACTCGCCATTGTGTTGTTCCGCCTGGTAGTATGGTACCAGAAAGTATCCCCCCGACTCAAGGTCAAACCTAGCAGTGACTTCCCTCTTGTCCGGCTGACCGTCGATCTGACCAATTAACTGGAACTTGGAAATATGGCGTCTTTCATCTCGCTCAGAATGTTTTGTCTGTTCAGTGAATGAAGACAAAAGACATTACACCTTATGTGTGAGAAAAATTACGTTACAAACAATATTAGTTCAGTCTTCAGTAAAAGCCCATCTGAGTTTTGATAAGAGAGAGGCAGAACAATTCACGCTGAGTACATTTCTAAACACATAAAATAACAAATTATGAGCAGGAAGCTCAACAGAAACAGAATCCTGCACATCCACACATCACTTCCTTCGGACACTACAAAATGCTTTATTTGTAAGACTGTCCATTCGTGATCCAGACTCCGTAGATTTGATTTCCGAAAGTTCCCCCCCCCCCCCCCCCCCCCCAGGAAACAACACTCATGGGGTTCCCCTCCCTCACCATTGAAAAAAAAAAACAACGTGTACAGAGACCTTCTAGAGCAGAAGATTTGGGCTGTAACTAAGAGAAAAGACCAAGGAATAGATCGGCAGAAGACGTAGCTGAAACCTGCACACCAAAAATATAAGCAAAACCGTAACTCACTCAAGCCTTCCGGCAAGCGCAAGGACAAACATTAAACAACAATTATAGAAAATACGCAAAGCCAAAACACTGGGCTACAACCTGATTACAGAGTGACAAAACTGTAGAAACTAAAGAATAACAGTAAAACTGTACTCTAGAGTACGACTAAGAATATGATTAAGTCTATAGCTGTCGGCTCTGTGGCTAAGTCGATGCGAACGCTTCGTAATGCCGGGATGCCGTGTTCGATCCCAGCTGCGGGTCATGGGCATTGCGTTGGTTTCGACAGTGCTATCAAGAAAGCCGACCGTCCAAAAAGCAATTGCAAACTACTGGACGTAAATTTGCCTAGAAAAACCACACAACAGCCAGGGGTTGTTGGGGTTAGTTCTGCAACGTGCTGTTAAGGATACGCAACTAACCTATGGCTGGTTGCTTTATCTTGTAGCGACTCGAGCCGCAACCAACAACAAATGTGAATCGGTAAAGAGAAGCAAAACATTTCTAGACAAGAAACGAATTTTCGCCTACAACACTCACCGACTTCTTTCACATATAATCTTTTCGAGGATTTAAATATAAAATTTCACTACGTCTGATGCAATGACAATTACGTCAGATGTAGTCATCATCATAATGTAGCAGGTCCTTTGCAGAACGTCGCTCTCATCACGGTCTGCTTGAAAGAAACTCGGTCTTTCGCCAGCTCTCCCGCCTCATGCACTTTCATACTCAAGGAATCACTTATATCCTGTGCCCATCTTCGTGTTGGTCGGCCCCTGTCCCTCCTTCCTGGTACCATGCCTTCTGCTATAATTTTTTCCAAACCGTTGTGGAGCTAGATGTGACCAAAATATTTCAGCTTCCCAGACAGGATGCTGTCTATTAGCCAATCTTCCTTGATGTTCAGATCTTTATAGATGTCAGTATTTCTCCTCTTGTTCGTCCAAGAAATTCTGAGAATTATTCTATAGCATTGTCAGATGTAGTAAGGCGAAATTAATAACTTGAGAACGACAATATGCTTCTTTAATGCAAAACGATATTCTGATGATACTTACTTTATATAGACAGAATCCTATTGGAACCAGCAAGGAATTGGCAGTCAGTTTTCCGTGCCTATAATCCTGTAAAAGTGAGATCAAAACATGGCGCTTTTCTTGCAAGGTAGGAGGCAGCAACGGGTCTCTCTGCTCGTCACGTGTCACCAGAAAGTAGATGCGTTGATTCTTGGTGTGAATGTCCAAGCGTGTGCGGTCCGAGCTGGGCATTTCTCCTGTTTTGTAATATAGATTCTTGTTAGTTAAATGAAACAAAGAAAATAGGGGCGTTTCAGTTGAAATGCTATAGAAAAATTCTCAGAATACCATGTACAAAGAAGATAAGAAATACTGACATTTTAAAAAGATTTGAACATCAAGGAAGATTGGCTAATAAACAGCATACTGCCTCGAAAGCTGGAATATTTTGGTCATATTAAGTGCCAAGGCGGATTGGAGGGAAAAAAATACAGAAGGCGTGGTACCAGGAAGGAGGGACAGGGGCTGACAAACACAAAGATGGGCACAGGATATAAGTGACTCCTCGAATATGAAACTACACGAGGCGGGAGAGCTGGCCAGAGACCTAGTAGACCGTGATGAGAGCGACTTTGTGCAAAGGACTTGCTATATGTTGATGAGATGAAACAATAAACATCACAGGAAACGTTTCATCGCTGGACGGTTTTTGATAAGACCAGTTGTTATAAATGATCTAAAGCTTAAATGCAACTAAAAAAAAAAAAGCAACCTTATTAAAAGCTTTATAGAACAGTCTCACGTCGAATCATTAGATTATAACAGATGAGAATAAAGAGAAATAGCAATTGTATTCATAATCTGTTAAAATCATCATTGATTATGGATTGGCATCATAAGGATTTAATGGCTGCAATGATTGTGGTCAATGCAATTTGTATCCTACAGAATTGCAGTCCAGATGATTAACATCTCAGGCATGATATTACTACATGTACACACCCTGATAAACCTGTTCAGCAGTACGGTTATTTATATTAGACCAAGACGATTATGAAATAACATAAAGTCCAGGCCAAGCAGGGATAGGTGCAATCGTTGGGACATACAGAGAGAGAGAGAGAGAGAGAGAGAGAGAGAGAGAGAGAGAGAGAGAGAGAGAGAGAGAGAGAGAGAGAGAGAGAGAGATTGGCATTTCTTTGTTTGTCTGATGCAAATCTTGCGCTCTATTTTAAAACTATTTCCTGAAAAGCTATCGTGTTGACATTTTGCACACACACGCTTTTTGGATGACAGAGCAATGTGAAAAAAATATCCGATTTTATATATATATATATATATATATATATATATATATATATATATATATATATTATATATATATATATATATATATATATTCTTACAGAACTAGCGACTGACGTAGTGTGAATGGATACAAATAGACCATGCCGACAAGAATGGCAACGAGACTTAGTGGTGCAGACACAGCTATTGACTTAGCTTTTGTTATTCATTCAGCAATGCTGCATGCAAAATGGAGTGTCCTAACGATAATATGAATGACCATCTGCTGTGCCCAGGCTAAATCTCCAGAGCTAGCTTGATAAGGGCTGTGGGAAGTAAAACTTGTTGGTATGAGAGGGACTTTACCCTTGCCAGACGCTCTCTACAGAAGGTATGCAGCCCTCATCCTAGCCTGGTCCACAACGGCTGCTAACTCTTTTTGCACCTTGTTATGGCTCCAGGTGTATCTGCCTTGACCAAAGGCTTTTCTGCATGCGGACAGTACGTGTTCTAACGTTTGTTACGCTCTGCACAGCGGGCATGACGGGTCTTTAGTCGCAGACCACTTCACCATGTTTGAAGGCCCTGTCCGTAGCCGGCCGCCCCATCTAACGTGACCTGCATGGCCATGACGAACAGTATTGGTGAGATTGTGTATCCCATAGCTATCCTAACTTGTAGCTTAGCCCACCTCGTGGTAAACGTCGAGGTAGAGAAGCGCAAAGCGAACTTAGAGAAATATTGCTCGATCATTTGTTTATCTGTGCCGGTACGTGAAACATGCGAAGGGACTGCCAGAGTAGCCTATGGGGAACTGCCCCATAGGTTTTGGCGAGGTCGAACCCTATCACGTGCTATTCGGTTCTCTCATGCTTGGCCCTCTGGATAGACTCCCAAATCATGGTTGCTTGTTCAAGGCACACAGGGACGCCTGGGATTCCACCCTTTTGAACACTCGTATCGATGTACTTGTTCGCCATCAGATACTGTGTGAGCCGGCGAGCCATGACCGAGAAGAATATCTTACCTTCGACATTCAACAGCGAGATGGGCCTGAATTGGGAAAGACTCTTTGAGTCCTGCTCTTTGGGAATGTAAGCCCCGTTGGCCTGTTGCCACTCCGGACATATGTGTTTTAGGCTCCACGCTTGTCTCAACAAGCCGTGAAGCATTCGTAGGACTTTCGGACAACGTTTTTAAAGAACGTACGGAACACCATTTGGACCTGGAGCAGACTTGTTGCTGGCTCTTTTCACAATTTCCTCAACCTCAGACCAAAGGGGAGGTATCACTTTAAATGATACCTTCGGCAACTTAGGCTGCTTAAGGCCGCTAAGGATCTCTGGATTGTTATCGAGAGGCTCATTCCTCTTCTTGTCAGAGTACATTTTGCTGAAATGTGACCCAAGCTCCTCCTTACTGACAACCAGAGTCCCAGACTCGAATAGATCTCGGGCAAACTGGAACGGGTCCCTAAAGAATTTCTCTCGCTCCCTTTTGGTTCTCCTTCTGTTGTTACAGAAACGCTCAGCGCGACAGAGGGCACTGGGTCTGTTCTTTAGATGCAACCTAACTTCATGCAGCCCCTCCCGTTCGCTGCCTGTAGCGGCTTTGAACCGTTTTCTGAGAGCATTTTTGTCTGCCCGGCACTTCAGAATGTCCCTCTGTCTCCTGCTTATATACTGCTTGACGCCCGAGGCGCCTTTTCCACTGTCTCGAACTCGCGGGAACAGTGCTCGTATATTACATTGCCAAACTTTGTAAGGTTGTCGCCTAACGACTTCTTTTTTAAATCATGAATTAGTTTCTCACACAATGTACCTTCTAACTTGCACCACGACACCTTATCGCTCGCAGGTGGGAACCTGATCTTAGAACGCACTTCCTCGGGAATCATCAAATGTGCGCCTCCGCAGTCAACGTCATAGGCCTCTCCGGGCGAGTGGGGTACACCCTGCATGTCGTTCGCTAATGACTCAGAAACTACCAGAGTATTAGTTTTGCGACGGCGTTTACTGCGTGGGGCACTCTCGCATTTCATCCTTCTGGCATGAGTTCTCGGACTATGCAACCCCGTGAAGTTTTTCCACATGTACAGAGCCAACCCGGACGTTGGGCAAAAGTCGGAGTCCGGGAGCTAGCAGGGTCGTTAGGGCCCCCGCCTACAAACAGGATGACGCTTTAAAATTACAAAAAATGTGAGTCCTATATTGGTTCGAGACTGCGTCACGCACGAGGTACGAGCTATGAAAGTATGATGCACTAAGTTCCCCTTCTTTTTTTGTCGACTCACTGATACCAGGTTATAGCCCCGTGTTGTGGTTTTCTGTATTTCTTTTGATCTTCTCGAAGGGCTTGAGATGGATTTGTTCATCTTTTTGCAGGTTTCAGCTACACCATTTATCCATCTCTTTCTTGGTCTTCCTCTCGTTTTCCTCCCAGAGGTTCTACTGTAAAAAGTCTCATATGCAGCCAGGCCTGGTTGTATTCTCGCTAGATGGCCGAACCATTTCATTCTTTGCCTGTCAATATAATTCTCTCTCTAACGCTGGTATTCGTAACCCTGTCTCATCTAGTGTTGTTAGTAATGCACTAACGGAAACATATATTGTACCGTTATGTTGGCCGTACTAACATATTTGTTGGAGGTACTAGACTGATTAGTCGTTGTTGTCGACATATGGTTTTGTTTTTAGTTGACTGTTTTTATCGATAACGTGTAATTAGACTAAACTTTACCAAATTAAAAAAAAAAAATTGAAACACATAAAAGACACTATATAACAAAAGATTGCATTACTTATCTTTCGCATAGTAACCAATGCAGTTTAAAAAATATATCATATGATACATTGAGAAGAAGATATTTACAATTAATTTTTATCCAAATTTTTATTGTATGTTTACTTTATCATACAGTTTGATGAGCACACGAGTTAAACTAATTATTTTTAAAAAGTTATCTATATTTTTTATACCACAACCCAAAAATATTTGGCTGCTTTAATATCAATATATAATATTCGACTCAAGAAACAAGAATTAACGCATGTTACAGTTTTAGCAAATGCCACGACATTAACGTGCATTGAATTCATCAGTCAGCAGTTGTTTTAAAGAATCTAAAGAAAGTAGATCTCTGTACACAACAAAAAGAACGAGACAAACACTGTTCTTTCGCCACGTAATGAGAAGAGAGGCATTGGAAAACATCGTGACAACTTGAAAGATTATTAGAAATTGGGGAGAGGCAGATCAAGATAGATGATGCTGTTTGGGCTATCATCAAGGAGGGATATCATCAAGAGAGCTGTTCCAGGCAATCAGGGATCATAATCTGTGGAGGCGCATGAGCGCCATCGCCAGTTGGCCGAATATATAATGAGATCTCTCCCTGGAAAACAGAGATAACTGTAAATGCTGCAGCTATGCTTTTCCGGACGAGTGTTACAACAATAATTTTGATCTTTTAATATGTATCTATTCACATCTATTGGGATTTAGTTTTTAACCTTTTCGGCCTCAATGTACCACGCCTACTGTATATTACCTATGTGCTTGGAGACTGCGTGGTCTTGAGGCATGGCGTCAGCTTCGAGTGCTGGAGGTCCCGGGTTCAATCCTCGGTGAAGGTTGGGATTTTTCACGTGGACTTATATTAATTTCCCCTGGTCTCTGGGTAGTAAAATGAGACGCCCGTGTGTATTGTTACGCACATAAAAAATCAATTGACAATCGAAAAAGAATAGCCTAACGGCGATGCCCGGGCTAAATCTGGAATTCCAAAGCTACCCAAAGTATTTCAGGATCCTTGCCGGTGCTACGGAGTTCGTGCACTGCGTTGAGATTATTCGAGCTCAGGCTTCAGTCAGAAGTAGAACCGAACATTCATGGGTTACTACCCTTGTGCCATGATGTGGATTCGTCGTCTGAACCTAAAGCTAAACCTACGTGCACAAGTCAACATGTTTTGTATATTTGCACATCAGGAAATTCTCAGAATATCTTGGACAAAGAAGAGGAGAAATACTGACATCTTTAAAAAGATCTTAACATCAAGGAAGATTGGCTAATAAACAGCATCCTTTCTCGGAAGCTGAAATATTCTGGTCATGTCAAGCGCCACGACGGATTGGAAAAAATTTATAGCAGAAGGCATGGTATCAGGAAGAAGGGCAGGGGCCGACCAACACGAAGATGGGCACATGATATAAGTGACTCCTTGAGTATGAAAGTACATGAGGCGGGAGAACTGGCGAGAGACCGAGTTTCTTTTAGGCAGACTGTGATGAGAGCGACGTTCTGCATAGGACCTGCTACATGATGATGATGATGTACATCAGGGAAACTAAATCAGTCCAGAAACACACGTCAGTTACAAGGTATTGAGTATCGGGTCCTGGTGGATGTAGTCTACCTAGGCTTTTGTTGACATTATTGTTGCTTCACTGAGGCATGCAGTTTGGGTTGAACTGGGCTGGAGCTCAGGTTCGCTACTGCGTGGCAGAACGTGTTGTGGAATCCAAAGCTAACTTGAGGTCTGCATGCAAGCGATTATCATAATAGATGTTTGAAAAAAAAAACCACACAGACACACACAGACACACACACAACCGCGCGCGCGGAAGTATTGCATACTGGCATTATGGCACAGCCTTTTACATTTACAAAGCACGAACTTCACAGCTCCAGCGACGATCTCCAGGGATTTTCATACAAATTATATCCGTGAACTAAACGAAAGTCATGAATGGAACACTTGACCTTCAGAAGGCGAGGCAAACGGCTTGATCACTTCTTGATTTGTCTATGTTACAGGTTAAGAGGTTTGCTGACAACCCTCCCTCCTCTCTCCGTTTGGAGAGACTCGTTTTAAAAAGGGGGTGGCGGGTGGGGGGGGGGGACTCTCTACCCCTCAACAAGCAGGTTGTAAATGGTGACTGCTTAATGATCTACTGAAATCCGATGTGTTAGGTCAAAAAGTGCAGATATCAAAGCCTAGCAGTAAACCACAACAAGCGAGCCAATCTTTTAAGGACGTACGCATAAAAACTATAACAATAATAGTATGAATAATAATAATAGGTAGAATAAGAAGAAGCTAACATCTTTAAAAAAAAATAACAAGTTAGCTATGTGAAGCTGTAAAACATTAATGTCAACTGGTTACTGTTGTGAAGTAACTTAGGGTGACACAAACTATGAGCAAAAAGCTTATATAAGGTAACGGAAAGCACGGGCACATACACAACTAAACGTTTCGACCAATGTTGTTAACTATACTATAAATCACAAAACCTTTCTGTATTTCGTGCGTTTAATATAAATGAAGTGTTAGCTCCTCCCAAACCGTGACCAAGACAGGGGTTAAACTTTCATTTGTCATTATGATTACAATGTTGAATTTAACAGTCACACTGACGGCCCAAGTTATAATGCATTTCTTTTTTTTATTGCAACAATCAGTAAAAGCAAACTTTAACTGGAGCTAAATTTCTTCGAAATTTTTTCTTTCACATGCTTTCCGTTGCAAAGGTAATTTTGAAAAATTATATTTCGCTATTATGATCCTTGGAACCAAATATCTATATGTGTCTAAAACAATACATTTGTCTGTCTCCCAAATTGTTAAATACTTGTGTTAGTATTACAGAGGATTCCTTGGGTACACTTAGGGGCATTGCTAAAGGTACGACAGTGGTGGAGACAAAGATAAAATAGAAGACGGGATATTAAATACAGGGCTTTAGTTAGACCCCTATGTCCACTAGGCTTTCATATAGGGAAGCGGTGGGGACCAAGATGGGGTAGAGGACGGGCAAATAAAACTTTCTTTCACTATCTCAGATGAAGCCTAGAAATTAAATCTAGTTGGTCTATAAGAAAGAAAATCATAACCACCCCCACCCCGCTCCCCCCCCCCCCTAAAAAAAATCGATCAGCACGTTACATAGAACTAAAATGCGATAATTATAGACAGAAAGAGCCATTTCGGCACGAAATGTGAACGCAGGAATCGAAAGAAAAAATTAGGTAAAAGTATAAATGGAGAAGTAAAAACATTGAACAAAAAAAAATATTTTTTTTTTGCAATATATGATGAACATTTATCCCCCACAGGATCTTCCAACCGATGAGTTGTGCGATTCTTCTTTCAAGATGACAGGTTAAGTAACATAATGAGACAATTTCAATTTTTAAGACTGACTGATGTGACGATGATGCTCCTAATGACGATGATATAAACAGGACCATGATAAAGATGATAAGATGACAGACTTACCACTCCAGACATCTCTGTGCTCCAGAATGATTTTCCATCTCCCCTCTGGGCGAAAGTAATCCGCTTTAGTAGCCAGAAAGAAGCTCTGAGTGAGGGAATTCATGGAGCCTGAAGGCGAAGTTCGATTCACTGAATATTTATTAGGGGCACTGCGAGGTCGCCTGCTGCCTTCAGAGGTGACTTTGTGATGAACATCAAAGGGTAATGATGTTTGACAAGTTCCCGCCGTGCTAGGTCGAGTAGGTGGATCATAGGTCACTAATGAATGTCTATCTGTTTCGTCGTCTAGTGTTCTGTGTCTTGGTAAGCTGGGGACTGGAGTGCTAGATCGATTAGCTTCTGATGCTACTGGTGTGGCCCATACTGGAGAGTCGTTGACAGAGGAAACAACATCAGAGGCCGTATCTATGCTGCCGCTATGATAAGGCGGGAGTGATAATCCGTGTAATGCTGTATCAAGGCTGTGTTTCTTCATAAAAGTGAAGCGATGTGTCTTTTTTAAAAGGTGAGAATTAGCAGCACCAGAATGTCCTCGCGTGTTGGGTGAAGCGGGATCGTACGAGTGAGAATGATCTTTCAACTTCTCGCCTGTTGATTTGCGTCGACGAGGGCTCGGTAAACACGAGATACTATCGTCCAAGCTGGAAATCGATGAGGCTCCTTCGTTGTTAATAACATTTTCTTGATTTTGCTGTGGCGTCTCTTCACTAGAAGTTTCACACCGCTGATGTGGTAATGTAGTTTCTTTCCTACTTGTCCGACCTAGGTGTAGACCGGAGTCTTTTGGCGGATTATTGTCTTTACAACTGTTCTGTGGAGACTCACTCTCCTTTCGTTTGGATGTGTACAATTTTCTTTTCATCGCTGCATCCGTTAAATCCGTTAAATCCGTTCTTCCTTTCTCCACATTAAAAGGAGAAGAAGGAGCACTCAGTGAATCAGTGTAAAAGTTAGAGTGACAATCAGAATCGCTGTTTGTCCTCCGTTTGAAAACATCCCTAGGGAAAGCATCATAAGGAGACGTGGAACGACGACCTTTGTTTCTGTACTCCACATCAGTCCACGCCTCCGTGTGTAGCAACTCCGGATCACACTGCGTCCGATAAGTACGCTGCAGGTTCAGACCGTCCAAACGAAATGGCTCAATGGAACTCAGAATGAAAAGTCCTCCAAAGTTGCACCTAAAGTCACTGAAAGTCATCCAGTATTCATCGGGATCTTTCTTGGCGTCTGGCTCAAGTCTTGACATGAATTCTGAATTGATATTCTGCCAAGATGCTTTGTCTCTGAAAATATATTCACATGATATGTAAAAGGAAGATGGTCATTCTTTTTAAAAAGAATCTAGGCTTACTGAAGGTTTCACTGCACTACCAAAGCAAACCTCTACATATTATATCTGGTTTTCAGGTTTGTTAAAGTCAAAAACAAATATATTTATGGTAATGGTAATGTCACAGTATGAAAAACACATATGCACACACACAAAAGAAAAGCAGACGCTTTATTGTTTACAGCCTTAAAAAAAAAAGGACTACAAATAAGTTATAACTGATTAATGATCACATTTTTTTAAACGTTGCTCACGTCACCCTTTAGAGATCTGTATACTCTCATCTCCTCCGTGTTACCTTTGTGTAGTTCACTACATTTTGACAAAGGCTGCCGGCCGAAAAGTTACGTTTTTTTGTGTTGTTTTGTGCACGTTTCTCTGCTTCCCCATTTAGTTAAGCTTTTTAGTAAAATTTCCCTGCAATTCCATTTTTGGCACCACAGTCGATCACGCACCGCTTAAGATATGTGAAGTCAACGCCGTTATAGGCATCTTTAGGATTTATCGCATCAGCGACTGTTTCTTGCTTTCGCTAAAACCCTTCATACACATCATATGCTAGCGTACCAACATTGTCCCTTATTGCCTTTGACGGCCTGTAGCTGCCCATAGTGTCCGGTAGCGTGCCTATTCTGTCTAAGTATGATATCATTTTCTTCATTAAAATTTATTTTAGCAGTCTGTCATGCAAATTTTGCAAAGTAATGATTCTATAACTGCTGAGCTGCGAGGGATTCTGCCTGGTTTTTGGAAGTGGTTTAAGACAGCTGTGTAACCAGTCATCTAGTACATTTGACGTTTGGATACTATCATTTAAGTCCCTCACAACTCGTATAAAAAGTAATTAGAACACAAATATATTAAGGATACCAACAACAGATCATCTACAAGTATTTTTAAGCTACTTGGGTAGAAATTTTGACTCTCAGTGAGATACAACGAAGGGAATTTTGATATGCAATGACAAAGCAACAACAGTCTTTAAAATCCTTAACAAAATATGGAGCTCCAAGTTATACAGCTTAAGACCGAACTAGGAATCTTCAATACTAATGTGATTTCGTTTCTAACATATGCCAGCGAAACTTGGGGAACCAACAAAGATATGGAGTGAACGTTGATAACATCTGGGAAAAAAAAAAGTCTGAGAAATATCTTGAATGTAGAAATGGGATAAATTCAAAAAGAGTCAGAAGATCAGAGAAATGCCTGGACAAATACCTGTATCGACTGCAATAAGACAAAGGAGGTAGAGATATATTGGGCACAGTCTTAGACGAAATGAGCAAAGAATTACGAAACAAGCAATGAAATGGGAAACAAACAGTCTAAGAAAAAGAGTGGGTCAACGGGAAACATTAGGAACATTATTATGAGGGGCTAAAAATGCTGGGCTGAACTGGCACTGAGTATGGCACAAAAGAAATGTCTTATAAAAGTTGCCGAAGTAAAAGATCAGATTGTAAACCAAAAAAAAAAAAAAAAAGAATCAGTTGCAAATCTGGGTCTGAGACAACTAAAAACGTTCCTTAAAGATCAATACATTAAATAGACTGGCCATCTGACAGAAATACATTGACCACAACTGCCCCGTGTCCAGCCCTCCCACAACTGCCCCGTGTCTACCCCTCCCACAACTGCCCTGTGTCCAGCCCTCCCACAACTGCTACTCAATGTTTGTGCCCGTCATCATCGTCTACACTGTGCGCTATTGTTCAAAATTACGAGTTTTTTTAATTTAAATTCTATATATATAAATATATACTTTTAATTATTATTTCAGTCTCTTTTATTTTTATTTCCACTTTATTGAACGCGCTCTCTCCTAGCCGTTTCACCATTTTTTACATCATGCTTTGGAATACGACACTTAAATTATTTTTGTGTATTTGTGTGGTTTTGTTTGATTTATGTATGTGCTGATGAAGGCTCTACAGTCGAGACGTTCACATTTTGTTTGCGTTTGTTATATTGTGAAGCTCGCTGATAAACTTTTCGTTCGGCTTTATATCTTTCCATAACCGCCTCAGTTTGCCAGACTAAACAAATATAATGAACAGAATCCAGATGAGGACATATTTGAACTGATCGATGGCATTAACACAGACCTTGGAGAAATAAAAAATCAGCAGACAACAGACAACAATACCGCACATTTTAAGGAGCACACAGAAGATCATTATGTCGCCCCCCCCCCCCCCCATTCCCACCCCAGCCTCCCATGAATCGATGCCAAACATAGCCACATCTTCATCCAGTAAATAACATTTCCACCCAAGTATGTGTCAGTTGGTCGTGTGTGTTGTTTATGTTTGTTTTATTTACATTATAGGGGCATGTAAAGAAAAAAAAATGGCAAAAGTGAAGGGGAATAGAGGGAAACAATGATTTCAGAAAGGCTGAGAGCTGGGCGTCTGAGACTAAACACACTAAATACTTGTGGTGGCAACATCGGTCCTGACATCCCATGTTCTTATTGCTGTACCACGTACTGATCTTTCTAATCTCATTCAACATCGCAATGGGCTGTGATTTCCTCCTTATAAAACAGTTTAACCCTGTCGTCTGGAAAGATGACAATAATAGAAAGAATGACGGGTAACAGGGACGAAATATATGGCAGGTAACAGGGACGAAATATATGGCAGGTAACAAGGACGAAATATATGGCAGGTAACAGGGACGAAATATATGGCAGGTAACAGGGACGAAATATATGGCAGGTAACAGGGACGAAATATATGGCAGGTAACAGGGACGAAATATATGGCAGGTAACAGGGACGAAATATATGGCAGGTAACAGGGACGAAATATATGGCAGGTAACAAGGACGAAATATATGGCAGGTAACAGGGACAAAATATATGGCAGATAACAGGGACGAAATATATGGCAGATAACAGGGACGAAATATATGGCAGGTAACAGGGACGAAATGAAATATATAGCAGGTAACAGGGACAAAATATGTGGCAGATAACAGGGACGAAATATATGGCAGGTAACAGGGACGAAATATATGGCAGGTAACAAGGACGAAATATATGGCAGGTAACAGGGACGAAATATATGGCAGGTAACAGGGACGAAATATATGGCAGGTAACAGGGACGAAATATATGGCAGGTAATAGGGACGAAATATATGGCAGGTAACAGGGACAAAATATATGGCGGATAACAGGGACGAAATATATGGCAGGTAACAGGGACGAAATATATGGCAGGTAACAGGGACGAAATATATGGCAGGTAACAGGGACGAAATATATACACACAAAAGGGTTGATTGGGAGTAGACTATTAAACAGATCAAGAAGAAGACAGTGGTGAGATAATACACAGGTGGACCTGCCAACGCGTTGAATCACCAAATGGAAGGATAGGGCTAATCCCACAGAGGATTGGAGGTAGATGGTACCCGCAGCAATGAATCTAAAGGGGCCCAGAATTAAGGAGAAGAAAAAGAAGCAGAAGAAGAAGATATGCTACTTTCCGCAGTTGCTGAACAGCTAAGCTGTTGCTAACTCCAGACGTAACTCACAGGAACATTTAGAAAATGGACTATCTCTAAAGCTCTTATCGCACTTGCATCGCATGCACTGTTCACGTTATTTGCCTTATTGTTCCCTCAACAATTAACTTCCCTTTGCACTCGTTATGTGTGGACTCGTGGTTACCTGTGGGATATCTGTTATTTACGATGTAACAATGATCAATTTACTGTAATGCATATTGTTCTGGTGTTATGTAAAGGTAGCATACGCGTCCAGGTTGACAACAGCTCTTTAGTTGTAAATATTTACCTAATTGTGGTCTCTATTATTAGCTACGGGTGGTATAATCATTCCCTATCACCAAAGAATGAGTATGAGCTTTTCATGCCCTGTCATACTTAATGTTACTAAATTATTGAAAGTTTGCTATATCATTTCATCTCCACTAACACACTATAGCTTTTGTTTTATGTTTTTACAGGGCTCTTTGGTATAGGAAGGCCAATAGTTGCATGAGAGAAAGTTAAGAGCATCGTATTACGAATTTAGAAGTGCAGGTTGCAAATTATGAAGTGTTCTCTTTTCGTGATATTCTCAGCATATTCTAAATTATTGTTTTCTTTAATCAGTTCATGACATCAGCACAATTTTCCAGTTTATGTATTTTCATCTGTTCACAAAATTCTCACACGTTTTCAAACTTATGGTTTCTTTTTTGACGATGATATTCTCAACTGTTTCCGAGTCTTAGTTTGTTCTCTGTTTCGGCTTCAAATTTTTTTATCTCACAAATTCTTCCCTGTTCGTGAGATATGAACATTTTGTACATATCTGCATGCGTGAACTTACATACATACACAAACATATGTACATACACATGTATACACACACACATACATATATACATACATTCATACATACATACATACACACATACATACACACATATATACATTCATATACACGTACATACACACATATATACACACATACATACATCATATACACATACATACACATACACATATTCATACATTCATATACACATACATGCATACCCATCAGAAAAACGGCCTTGCCACTTGGGTTCCGATGCAAAGGGGCACTTTAACCGTATCATCTGTTCCATTCGCCCTCCGATGATGGAAAACTGCTCAAAAAGAAACATTTGTCTATGAATTATTACAGCTAGCTGTCTCTTGTCTGTGCTTTGTGTG